TGTCCCCCCGGTGTCGCGGTGTCCCGCTCTCACCGCGTGCCGCCCGCCGGGCGCGGCGCCGGTCGCGGGGCAGGGCGGCGGCGGCGGCGAGGAACGCGGCCCCGCCGAGGGCGGCGGCGAACGGCAGCGGCAGCAGCGCCCGGCGCAGCGCGGCCGCCCCGCGCTGGAACGAGAGCGGCGCCGCGCCGCCCCCGAGGGCGTCACTCAGCTGGGGAGAGAGCGAGAGACCAGTATAAACCAGTATAAACCAGTATGGACCAGTATGGACCAGTATGGGCCAGTATAAACCAGTATGGACCGGTATGGGCCAGTATAAACCAGTATGGACCAGTATAAACCAGTATAAACCAGTATGGACCGGTATGGGCCAGTATAAACCAGTATGGAGCAGTAGGGACCAGTATGGGCCAGTATAAACCAGTATGGACCAGTACGGGACAGTGGCCGCCCCGCGCTGGAACGAGAGCGGCGCCGCGCCGCCCCCGAGGGCGTCACTCAGCTGGGGAGAGAGGGAGAGACCAGCATAAACCAGTATGGACCAGTATAAACCAGTATAAACCAGTATGGACCAGTATAAACCAGTATAAACCAGTATGGACCAGTACGGGGCAGCGGCCGCCCAGCGCTGGAACGAGAGCGGCGCCGCGCCGCCCCCGAGGGCGTCGCTCAGCTGGGGAGAGAGGTGAAACCAGTATAAACCAGTATGGACCAGTATGGACCAGTATGGACCAGTATAAACCAGTATGGACCAGTATAAACCAGTATAAACCAATATGGACCAGTATGGACCAGTATAAACCAATATGGACCAGTATGGACCAGTATAAACCAGTATAAACCAGCATAAACCAGTATAAACCAATATGGACCAGTATGGGCCAGTATAAACCAGTATAAACCAGTATGGACCAGTATAAACCAGTATGGACCAGTATGGACCAATATAGATCCAGTGATTCCAGTATGGACCAGTATGGTCCCAGTCCCTCCCAGTCCCCCCAAACCCCCTCCCAGTCCCTCCCAGTTCCCTCCCAGTCCCTCCCAGTCCATCCCAGTTCCCTCCCAGTTCCCTCCCAGTCCCTCCCAGTTCCCTCCCAGTTTGTCCCAGTCCCTCCCAGTTTGTCCCAGTCCTTCCCAGTTTGTCCCAGTTTCCTCCCAGTCCCTCCCAGTTTGTCCCGTTCCCTCCCAGTTCCCTCCCAGTCCATCCCAGTCCCTCCCAGTTCCCTCCCAGTTCCCTCCCAGTCCCTCCCAGTCCCTCCCAGTTTGTCCCAGTCCGTCCCAGTCTCACCAGTCCCACCAGGTAGGGGCTCCCCGCGTCCCCCAGCAGGTGTGAGGTCAGGATCTGCAGCGCCTCGGCCGTGGAGCGGCGCCCGGGCGGCACCACGTACTGGGAGCACTGGTTTGTACTGGGAGCCACTGGGAGGGGGCCGGCGCCCTCCCAGTACAGCCCAATTTTCTCCCAGTTCATCCCAGTTCATCCCAGTACATCCCAGTTCATCCCAATCCTTCCCAGTTTGCTCCAATCCCCTCCCAGTTCATCCCAGTTCCCTCCCAGTTCCTCCCAGTCCCTCCCAGTTCATCCCAGTCTCACCAGTAAGATGTCGGCCACGATGGCCCAGTTCAGGGACAGGAGGGTCTCGCCCAGGAAGATGAAAACCTGGGGGGGGCTCCCAGTTCAAACCAGTTGAAACCAGTTCAAACCAGTGCCCCCCCAACCCCCCCATAATGACCCCCAAACCCCTCCCAGTTCAAACCAGTTCATCCCAGTCCATCCCAGTTCAAACCAGTCCATCCCAGTCACCCCCAAACCCCCCCATAATGACCC